ATTATGTGGGCTGATTGATGCCCATTGTGTCCACCCCTCTCACTGATCTTTGGGTAATTTATGTAGAGTCCTACTTAAATTTTCATCAGACAGATAATCTCACAAAATTTTACTCCATGTTCTTTAATACAGTCTAAAGTGAAAATGATTAATAAATCCTTTAACATTACTCTGTGGGAAATTGTTTGATTTTTATTTGAAAAATAGCCTACCTTTTATTTGAGCTTTTTTAATAACCGTTTTGAAGGTTCAATTATAAGAAAATGCTTATCTTCAGGAAAAGTCTTAATGACTAACTTTGGCCTTTAATTCGTTTGATGTATTATAATCATAATTTTGAAGCTATAAAGATTAAACAATTTCCAGGACATGAATTTTCAAATTATGTTTATCTGGAAAGAGCTGAAAATTTACTGTGGTCAAGAAGATATATTTGAAAATACTTAATCGTTTTCAAGAGACAAAACTATTCTGAGTTTCAAACAGAAAGGAAAAGTAATATCACTAATATTATCACTGGTAACCTAGTATTAACTCTGTTAAAACTACATTCCTGTGTGATTTCTAGCTATCATTATCTATTATTGTAGGAGAGCAGGTATTTTGCTAAGAATATGAATTGTATATGTTCACTCATGTTTCACTGAAGATAATATAATAGTGGAATTTTATGTACATGTCTAGATAACTATATACTACATTTCCAATTTCTACCAGTATGATATTTCAGTACTAAAATTGCTTTGTATTTCTAGGTTTACTTTTGGAAGTCCTTTGTTAACATTTAGGATTTCTCATATAAGCACACACATACACAAGAGGAAATGATAAAATCTCCATGTTAAACCAGCTTTAAAAATATCACTGGAGACAAAGAATTCACTAGTATTCTAAATGTTTCTTTTAGTACTAAAACTTCATTGAACACTTCACTGTGCTCTAAGAAGAAGCAGCTTTCAGATGTAATTGGAAAATAGACTGGTTTTCATTTCTACACACCTCAAGTACCCATTTTTTAAAGAAATGGTAATTTTAAGTGTGGTTTGGGTTTAAATTAGTGCTGGGTTAATAGTTCAGAGGGGGGAAAAAACATCTGTCAGGACATCTTGATTTTATTTACAAACCTGAATTTAAATAGAAGTGTGTAAAGACTAACTTACATTTAAACGGGATGGGTATGAATTATTGGTGGTCGTAAAACATGTAATATAATGTTGTGGCATAAAAATAAACATTGTATGCTGTTTTCACAATAATATTTCTTCCAGGACAGCTATATTTTCATTAGATTTTTTTAAAGCGTCTTCTTGATATTCATTATTGAACTTTACCTAGTAAACACCTATGCTTGACTAGATTCTTTAAAATAATTATTTTAAAAATTGTCACTAGTTAATTTGTTAAATATTAATAGGAAATTTTAGTTGTATGTTCCTCTGCCTCTGTTTTTATATTAAAATAATGTGTCCCTATTCTAGAATTATTACAGTTCATTTGATATGCTTCCCCCCTTATTTTTAGTGGATTATATAGAAAACCTACCATACCTTTAAAAAATAGCTTATCCATAGTGTATACTCAATAGTTGAATTTTAGTCCTTGAAGGAACCTGAGTTATCTTCTATTTCACATTTTGCTAATAAGAAAGCCTAGCCTAAAGCATTTGAATGATATGTTTTAGATTTTATTTCAATTTCTATACAACAGAGTAAACAAACTTTTGCAATATAACATATTTGTAAATCTGGAGCTAGTTGTTTATCCTCTATAAAAAAGCATCCATCTTCAATTTCATCAGAAAAACTGACGTCTGAGATTGTAGAATCAGATATAAAACAAGAGTAGCTTGACCTTGAAGAAGGGTCCTATGGTCTCTCTTAAGGGCTCAGCTGAGTAGTTCCTATTTGTGATCTCTTACGTGTTTGTTTGCAGTGACCTAAACTTGCAAACTGACTCATGCCTGGGCGAGGAAAACTCAATGGAAACTCGTCCTGCATCCTCAGTCTGTGTGTGATCTCTCCACATTATCTTGCCAGCTAGGTCTTCAGGGTAGCCAGACTCTAATTGTTGCCTCAAGTCTGTCAAGATGTGTGTCTTAAAAGAGAACTGGATAGAGGCTGCATTTCTTAACCCAGTCTGAGAAGTCTCAGTCTTGTTCTGTGTGTTAGAAGAGAGCCACTCACTATCCAGCTCAAACTGAAGGGAAGAGGAGGAAATTCAATACCACCTTTGTGGGACTTGTGGGGAAGAGTATTTTAAAATCATCACAGTGGCCTCAAGGCTTGTGTGTGTGTGTGTGTGTGTGTGTGTGTGTGTGTGTCTTTTTCCCTTGGTGTGTGTTCCTTTGGCCTACAGTCATGACTGTTTCTTCTATCCTTTAAAAATCAAGACAATCAAACAAATCCTCCCTGAGAACTGGCATGTTACTTTTCTTTAACTTCTGCCTATCTCTCTTCTTCTTTCTAAAGTATTAACAGAGTAACCCACACTTGGTTTCCCCACTTTCTCCTTCCAGTCACATATGTGCCTGTGTGTTCTGATTTTCTCCCCTGCATTGTTCTGCGGTTGCTTTTGATCGTGAATTAGTACTTAGCATCTCTTGTCTTTCTGGAATTTTCCGTGGCATTTGATTTTGTTGCCCACTCTCTAATCCTCCAATCCTTGTCCCATTGTTTGTATAACTTAACCTTATTTCAGTGTTCCCTTAACCTTTCGATCCCATTTTCCCTGGTTTATGTTACTAATTCGTTTTTTTTCCCTCCCTTTCAATTTTTTTTTTGTTTATTTTATTTATTTTTTATTTATATATGAAATTTATTGTCAAATTGGTTTCCATACAACACCCAGTGCTCATCCCAAAAGGTGCCCTCCTCAATACCCATCACCCACCCTCTCCTCCCTCCCACCCC